AATTTTTTTTTATTTTAATTTTAAGATTCTATAGAATTAAAATAAAAAAAATTGATCTAATTTGATCAGGTAAGTGCCGGGTAATCTTCATTTAAATTTAGATATCTATAGAAGAAAGCTGCGGTCATATTTTTTTTAACTTTTTAATGAGTTTTTATTTTAATATGATTGATCAATTTATTAAATATACAAATTTTACAATAAATGAATTACTTATAAAATTAGATACAAAAATTTACATAATTAAAAAATTTAAAAAATAAAGTAAAGGATTATAATATAATCATAGATAACATAAAGTATAAAGATCAAATCTGTATTGATATATTAAATATCAGCCGTTTGAGTGTATAGTTTTCTTTAAAATAGCTCTGGGCAATGTAAAGCAAGACACCATTAATATGATCTTGATTTTTTTCATCAAGCGGCTTTGATAAACCTAGATTGGTAATATATGCTTCATAATCTTCTTTTAACAAGATATTTTTCAGATATAAATCTTGATGTAAATATCTTTTATAATGAATATGATTAAGATTAGATATAATATCATGAAGTATCTGTAATTTAATTTTCCATCCAAACTTAAAGATATCAGCAAGATTTTTGTTTAATGATCTATATTTTGCATAACTCATTATTAAAATATAATCATTTTTTTTTTCATCTGTATTTTAAGCTTGAATATCTTATTTATTTTTAATATTTATATCAAGGATTCCAGAGCATCAATTAACTTATATTAATTTAGATTATTTCTATTTTTCAGATACTGTAAAAAAAGATACTGTAGCTATTATATCCACAAACTAATTAATGCAAATAAATAAATTAAATAAAGTAATAAATAAAATAGAGTAGTAAAATATTAAAATGCTGTAAATTAATACATAAATAAAGCAGTTAATTTAATAACTTATTTTAAATAGATCGATTAATTAATACAAGTTTCGATATATGTAAAGTCAAACCAATATAGTTAGATTATTTGATTTAATAATTTATATATACCAAGCTATTTATTTTAGAAAAGTGCAACTTTTATTAATATCTTTCAAAAGTATATATTTAAAATATATATATTTATACTATACATAATTTTTAATTAAAAAATAATGTATTATGCGAATGATCTTTAAATGTTCAAGCCATTGTTTTTCTTCGTTTGTATGAATTAATTTCATCTACTATTTTTTCTAATTGTTTAAAATTTTTTTCCATGTTTTTCATCCATTTAAAATTTTTTTTACTTTGTTGATCTTCAAGAATTTCAAGAGTTTTCTTAGTTGTGCTTATAAGTCAATTACACAATTCCTCTGAATCTTGCATATCTTTAGCATTTTCAGTAGCTTCAATATTTTCGATAACTTCAGCATTCTCCATAGCTTCAATATTTTCAATAACTTCAGCACTTTCAATGACTTCAGAACTCATCATATTATAAGAAATTGGCATTGCCAAAGTGTTAAGAAATGGGTATTGATGGTAACAATGAACTCTATCAAAAAATTCAATTGGCACAGTTCCTTTTTGTTGTACAAGATGTTTACAAATAAGGAAACGGCTTGTTAAAAAGGATGAACATCCACATACCCAATTTAATATATCAGTAAAATAGGTATTTTGAATTACACAAGCTTCTAATTTCTTTCATTCTTTTTTGAAGGCTTTACGCCATTCTGCTTTTTCAATGCCAATCAGAATTTGCTTAAATTTTCTTTGTTGCTGTGGAATTACTTGCATTATAATAATATAAACTACTAAGTCCAAACGTGGATGAAAAAATTTATACAGAAAATCACGCTTTAATACCTTCCAGTTAAAGATTAAAATTTTTGTACTATGACCTGCACGTAACCATAAGCTCCAGCGTTCTGAACTATACTATTCATTAGTGTTCCAAATCGTTAGTTGAAAAACCAACTAGTTGGCAACTTTTCAACTAATTGATTTAAAAAAAATTTAAGCAACTAATCAATTTATTATCAACTGATTCAATTATGATTAATTGTCAGTTATCAATTAGTTATTAACTATATTAATCAACTAAACAACTATCTATTACCATTAATAGTAATGATATAACAGAATCGCAACCATTAATTGGTAACTAATACGTAGTAGTTAAATTGGCGAAGCTTATCGTCATACCTACATAGTTTATTTGTAATTTATATTTATTGTTTAATACGTATTTGTAATCAAATACGTACGTATGCATAATCTTTTTAAATGATCTTTTTTCAGTTCAAAAAATTATAAAGTATTCTTGCTGTCACGTAACAAGTATAGCTGTTGCTTAGATTAATAGGTGTTGTTGATGGAGAGTGAAGGGGAAAGGATAAATAATATAAACCAAAGTCGTAATTACACTAATTTGAGGTGAGACAAAAGCATTTTAGATATTAAAGCCTACTTATTCCTGGTTTTTTAACAGGTTTTGCAATTAAAGTTTACCATTATTGGTATATTGAACCCATGCGAAATAATGAAAGAACAATAATACATATAACACATTCATAAAAATCAAATGTCGTTATATAAAAAAAAAGGATACATCAAGTAAAAGTCAAGGAATAAACATGATGCATTTAAACATTTTCAGAAATCATACGATAAATATTATTGATAACGGAACCAGTGATAAGTTTTATAAAAGTAAAATTGGTGGTAAACATGAGGCATTCATCAAAAATCTGCCTTTTGTTTTGAAAGAACCCGTATATATAAGTACCCACGATTTGTAAAAGTCAAATATATTATATATCATTTAAAATAGGAAACAGCCTCAAGTGAAATTTTAA